GCGAGCTATTTTTAGAACATGCCCCGCGGGCGACTCACGTTGCCCCTGCGGGCGACTCACGTTGCCCCTGCGGGCGACTCACGTTGCCCCTGCGGGCGACCAAGTGCCCGCGGGCACCGTGTTGGCTACCCCATAGTGAATACAAAAAACAATTCTCGCTTATAAACATATTAAATCTTACTAAAGTGACACATTATCAGCTCTTATCACATGATGGCCTGGTGCTGCTGGTTTTATAAACAGGCGGTTGATGGCTTACTGTGATTCAGGAGTACTCGTCCAATCAGAACTGTTCAGCCCCGCATTGGTTCCTTCGACAAAAAAGCAATGCAATTTCTCCATAGGATTTTGGAAAATAGCTCGAAATAAGGTCTGTGGTTGACACACATTTAAGAGACGGATCACGTTTTGTTCAGTCGGATAATCTCCACATGTCTACCCTACTTTTATCATTTTCGAATCATAATTCTAATCGATAGATTTATGATCGATATATTTATGATTAAAAATTATAAAAGTAGGGTAGACATGTGGAGATTATCCGACTGAACAAAACCTCTTATAGTAAAATATCTGAGTAATTATTCCACCTTTGGTAATAGGTCTAAGCCTGAACACCATGTAACACACGTAACCCTGACAACCACAGTGTTTACCTCCAGTGTTTTAACTTCTCAGTGTTCAAAAGGTGTACTCTGTACTCTGTGACATCACTGTAGTTCTCAGCTCAGCTTTCAATAAAAACGCCTCTCTCAGCTTGCTGTTAGTAACTCTTTAACTCTCTGCTTCTCCCTTCCCTCCATTGTTCTCTTCTCCACCTTTCTCCCCCTCCTTCCTCTCCTTCATTGACGTTATCTCCCTCCTCTTCCTCCTCCTTTTTCTCCTCCTCCTGTCTTTGTGTTTTCTCCCATCAGCCCTCAGTCTCCCTCTCTCTTGTCCAGCTGTTTCCTCCAGTGACTTAATCTTCGCAACACCACTTTGATTTTCAAATATATAAAAGTATATTTTGATTGAGAGAAGATATTTCTGCTCTGTGTGTGTGTGTGTGTGTGTGTGTGTGTGTGTGTGTGTGTGTGTGTGTGTGTGTGTGTGTGTGTGTGTGTGTGTGTGTCTGTGTGTCTGTCTGTCTGTAGTATTGCCTCTGTAACCTCTGTTTGTGGGATGCTGTTTGTGTTCAGTATTTATAGAGTGCTCTGCTCCATGAGCAATAACATTGTGAAATCTTGCACACGCACACAAACACAAATAAATGAAGTTAAGACTCATTCAGGCTGACCCCTTTATGTTTGGTTAGGTTTAGTTTGTTCCTTAAAAAATAAGGAAAAATGCTAACTTTAATACTTGTTATGACCTATTTTAAAGAGGCCCTTTTATGGTAATTTTCAGGTTCATATTTGTATTTTGTGTCTCTACTGTAACTTGTCTCCATCCTTTAATGTTCAAAAAGCTCTTTATTTTTCTCATACTGCCTGTGCTGCAGCCCCTCTTTTCACCCTCTGTCTGAAACCAGAACCCAGTCTGCTCTGATTGGTTAGCTGGCCGACTCTGTTGTGATTGGTCAACCGCTTAGAAATGTCCCGCCCCTTAGGCTATCATGAACAATTTGTTGGAGTCCTAGCCAATAGGAAGTAAACAAAGGAGTCCAATAGAGTGGTGCAGTGACGAGTCCTAAAACCCGGAAGTGAGTTAGCATTTTACCACTACCGGTTCCCTCGTCTCAGAGCCAATGGGATTTCTCCATAGGATTTGGGAAAATAGCTGGAAATAAGGTCTGTGTTTGACACAAATTTAAGAGACGGATCACGTTTTGTTCTACGACATTAAATACATCAGCAGTGACCCCACTTGGTGATTTTTGAAGAGTTTACGTGTCTGACAAACGATGGTTGTTAACAAGTGGCTGAATAGGACTATAGAAGTTGTAGAGGACGTTGTATGTCATTACACCGAACACGTAAACATTCCCGCTACGTTTGTTTGCCCCTGTTCTGCTTGAAAGCAAGTACCTGCGCTCTTGCAAACTGTTAAAACAAACGCTTCAACTTGTACAATTTTGAATCTGTATTTTTGAATATCGATCTGTAGTTCGTTTATAGCATAACGTTAGCATTTTGCTTCTGGCGATTAGATTTATGATTAGAACATTATAAAAGTAGGGTAGACATGTGGAGATTATCCGGCTGAACAAAACGTGCATTTATCAAACAGGTTAGTTCTCCACAGACCTTATTTCAAGCTATTTTCCAAAATCCTATGGAGAAATCCCATTGTTTTTTTGTCGAGGGAACCCATGCGCAGCTTACTTCCGGGTAAATATGTCATCCCTGCACCACTCTATGGAGGCGTTTCAAGCCGGGGGGTGGGGGGGGGGGGGGGGGATTTTAGCCTTTGCAGACCATTTATATGCACAAAAACCTATACAACACTCTACAGGAAAGAGAAAACCCCCAAAGAGCATAATTTAAAACTCAAGTTGTCCTGCTGTCAGCTGTTTGGTTTAAAAAGTACATGCTTTTGGTAATTTGTTGACAAATAGCTGAGGATGTTGGCTTTAGTGAAGAAGCCTACATCAATCAATCTATCAATCAATCAATCAATCAATCAATGTTTATTTATATAGCCCAATATCACAAATGTTACATTTGTCTCAGTGGACTTCACAGTTTGTACAGAATATCAGTATGACAATACGTCACCCTCTGTCCTTAGACCCTCATATCGTACAAGGAAAAACTTCCAAAGAAACCCTACAGTTTAAAGGGGAACATGGGAGCATGGGAGAAACCTCAGGGAGAGCAACAGAGGAGGGATCCCTCTCCCAGGACGGACAGACGTGCAATAGATGCCGTGTGTAAATCGAAAAGATAATACATTTACAACATAGGTAGACCAAATGTTTGAAAATGCATATGTCTATAATAAGAAGATGAATCCACGAGGATGTCAACAATCCTGTGGGAGCCATCAGGGAAGTAGTATGATAAAAGTCAGGCAGGACCACAGTGACAGGTTCAGCCACGACTCGAAATCCAGGACTCAGATCAGGACTCAGGATCAGCCACGACTCAGGATCCCAGCGTAGACACCAAAAAGAAATTTGGGGGAAGCTGGGTTATTCGGAACATGAGAGTACACAGGTACAGACAGAGAGAAGGAAGAAGTAAGGTGTCCCCCGACAGTCTGAGACCCCATTTACACGGGAATGAAACGGGTTGTATCCGCATAGTTTCTCTTGCGTATAGCCCTTTCATTTACACGAGGCCATAACAAAACGATAGAAACGGACCCCGCAAACGATAACGGGTCCCAAGGTGGATAGATCTGCAAACGGAACGCTCTGGGGGGTCAAACTGCTGTAGCATGGTCAGTAGCTACTGTCAGTAGGGGTCTTCTTCGCTGCTTTTGGTGTATTTTGTGGCGGCAGCAGCACCACTTACAGGCCTGGCATATGTACTACAGCTTTTCCAGCGGGTCGATCGGTCTCGTGTGAACAGACACGTTAAATGAATCGAATGCGTGTGAACGGAATACTTTTTTGAAAACGCATACGGTGCGTAAACGCAAACGTTCCCGTGTAAAGGCAGCCTAAGCCTATAGCAGCAAAACTAGGGGCTGAATCTAATCAGCCCTAACTATAAGCTTTATCAAAAAGGAAGGTCTTAAGCGCACTCTTAAAAACGGATAGGGTGTCTGCCGCCCGAACACAAACTGGAAGCTAATTCCACAAATGTGGAGCTTGATAAGAAAAGGCTTTTTACACTAGCTGGATCTCATTGGATAATATAATCAGATACAACTCAATGAAACCCAATCCTCGGAGATGTCTCAAACATTAGCTGAGGATGGCTTGGTGATCATTAAATCAATATTGATCAGAAATACTTGGTTGGGTGGCAGGTGTTTGTAAAAACTGATGAGAGGAGACTTTGAATAATGATCTATTGAGCCTTGTTTAAAATCGCTGTTTGAGATAAACCAAAGAGCTACATAGAAGAAATAAATCCTGCCCATTTTTTTAAAAATGTAACAGTAGTCTGTAACTGTAAGAGAATCGTTACCTTTTCTGTATCCTGTTACATGTACTCTGTTAGTCCCCATCGAATACCCCCTAATAAGAATAAACATGTTTTATAAATAGGGTTGCAAAGGGGCGGAAAGTTTCCGGAAAATTTCCATGGGAAGTTAAGCTGGGGAATTTTGGAAATATTCGATGCAAAATTAAACAAAAAAACATGACATTTCAACAGATTTATTTTAATTTTAATATATATATTTTTTAAGTAGAACAGGACAAGTTTTAATTATTTTATTGAACAATTATTTATTTCATTGAAGAACGAAAACAGGAATGTTGAGTTAAATATTACTCATCTGTGCATGTGATGGAGGAATGCACAGTGCCTGTAGGGGTGTGGTCTCAATAGCCATGCAGTAAGCAGTTTGCTATGGCATGGATATTCAAGTGTACTTGAATGGCATCTGTTTGTTTTAGTCAAGATTATGCTAAAATATACTTTCCCCAACTATATTTAAGTTCCCTATGAAGAGCCAACCTTCAATTTTGAAAATTCTCAGTTTATTCCCATAAATTCCCGTTTATTCCCGTTAATTCCCGTTTATTCCCGTTAATTCCCGTTTATTCCCATGGAAAGTTTCCATCTTTGAAAATTCCCGGAATTTTGCAACCCTAGTTATAAACAATTTGTAAGAAATGGATGATTTAAATGCAACCTAACTTGATTGCATTTGGTAAATTGCCATGGCATAATTCACTCTGATGGCTCCTGATATAGAAAATTGCACATATTTTTTATTTATATTCTTATTGTGGACTTAAATTGTTTGTTTTCATATCTTTGTCCTTTCTGGTTTCTCGTTCATAATCACACCGAGTGACTCACTATGTTGTTTTACCAGCTCTGAACACATTGGCAAAATAAAGAATCAATTATATTTAATTATGACATTTTCTAATTGTTCTCTCTCTGTCTCTCTGTCAGAGATGTAGCGTGTGTTGGTGTGATCGGTGGACCATCATGCACCTCTTCCTGCTGCTGATCCTTCCAGCCACAGCAGCCTTCGGACAGATTGACCCTGGTACACACACACACACACACACACACACACACACACACACACACACACACACACACACACACACACACACACACACACACACACACACACACACACACACACACACACACACACACACACACACACACACACACACACACACAACACACACACACACACACACAAACACAACACACACACACACAGATTCTCTATAAGGTCAAATTGTGACTGATTCTGTGTGTTTGTGTGCTTTCAGCACACTGTCGCTATGCCTTGGGCATGGAAGATGGACGGATTACAGACCATGACATCACAGCATCTAGCCAATGGTACGAGACCACGGGACCTCAGTACGCCAGGTGAGTTTGACTTAAAAACATATAATCTTTTTTCCTTAAGTCTTGTGAAAAGCTTATCAATTTTACTTTTTTACAATTTTAATATTTAAACTTTAGATTACAATACTTTTATATTTGTTATGATAAAAAAAAAGGTTTTATAAAAATGTGGAGGAAAAACCTCAAGATTATTGCAAACAAAATCATTCTCAATACATTTCTCACTTTCGCAATTGAATACAAATAATAGACATTACATATACAGGGCTTTTCAATATATGCTTTAGATGACAGAATAAATAACCAACTTAAACACAGTACAAGTCACGCAAGCCTGACTAAATAATAGTAAAGTTTGGATGTGAAGTTCCATATTCTCCATAAAAGCTTAGCAGTTCTGAAGGCTCAGCTTCTGACAGTAATTATAAAACGTTCTTAAGATCGCCTGATGATTTCTATTAACGTGTGTGTGTGTGTGTGTGTGTGTGTGTGTGTGTGTGTGTGTGTGTGTGTGTGTGTGTGTGTGTGTGTGTGTGTGTGTGTGTGTGTGTGTGCGTGCGTGCGTGCGTGCGTGTGTGTGTGTGTGTGTGTGTGTGTAGGATGAATCGTGAGGAGGGAGATGGCGCCTGGTGTCCTGAGGATAATCCTTCCGACCCTCAGTACCTGCAGGTCTGTGTCTGCTCACTGCTTTAAGACACAAACTCATATTTAATTTAATATTTTGTTTTCTTGTGTATTCAGTGTTTGAACGTTATAATGTCTGTGTGGATTCTTAGTCACGTAGGTCAGGATATATTGTGAAGTCCAAAGTCAAAGGCTGATGTTGATGATTGCAGTTCACACTGGGCGACTGTACACATGTAAAATACTAACATTCCTGGGCCTTATTTAACTTTAAAGAGGAAATATGACGCTTATTTTGCTGGTCATACTTTTACCTTTGGTGTCTACTAGAACAAGATAGCATCCTTTATTGTTAAAAAAAGACATTACTTTTCTCATAAAGTCTGTCTCAATTTACCTGTATTCCCCCGCTGCTCAAACGCTCCATTTTGGCGCCTGTCTCTTTAAGAGCCCTTTCCCAAAAGACTGGTCTGAATACTGTGTGTATTTCTCCGTGGATTTAGCATTTTGATACTTTCACAGTATTTAAACGGCACCTAGACTTGCTTTATAATAAAAAGGATTATATTCTATACACTATATGGGACATTTTTAGCTTATCAATATGTGAAAGTTAAAGGTCCCATGACATGGCCATTTCTACTGATCATAATTCCATTGTTGAGGTATACTAAAATAGATTTACATTGTGCAATTTTCCAAAATCACATTGGTTTCTCATACAGCATCTCTGTATAGTATGTGTATTCACTCTCTGTCCTAAACGGCTTGTTGGAACTCCTGCACCCCCCCCCTCCCTGTGAGCCCAGTGTGCTCTGATTGGTCAGCTCGCCCACTCTGTTCTGATGAGTCCACCACCGTTACAGCGGAACATCAGTGATTATGTGTTACAATGGCGTTAGCAACCAGAAAATGACACCAGTAATGACAAACAGATGAGAATGCTGTGTGGGGTCTGGGTGCCATGTTGGCGGGACGTTGCGAGGCTCGCTGCTGCGAGGAGCGGACAGTGTGAGCTGGCTTACTGGTGTGGTTTCCTGTGTGAGCTGTGAGTGATATGAAAATGGTCAAAACACCACCAGACTTCAGATGACAGTTAATGGTCCAGCCCTCAACATGTCTATGTGCCATTAGTGAGTTTTCCTCAAAAGCTGTTGCCATGGCAACGCATCCCTTGCAATAAAACACGATATTGCTATAACTCCTATGAAAATTGTCAAAAAGTGCTAAAACTTCACATGTGTGCTAATAGTCCAGCCGTGAAGACATCTGCAGGACACTTTTGAGATTTCTTCAAATGCCGTTGCCATGGCAATACAATGCTCGCCATGAAACACGGTTTTCTCATAACTTCAGTGAAAATGCTCCAAACAGCCCAAAACTTCACAGGTTTGGTAACGATGCAGCCATCAACGCATCTAAGCGTATTATGGGGTGTCATCAAATACCGTTGCCATGGCGACAGATCATTCGCCATCAAGTTAGTTCAATAGTTTGCAGTTGAAATATTCTGCTGCTTTTCCAAGCCTTTTTACTTTCTTTTCTTCTCTTATCACACATTCAAGCCCCCAGTGTTCATGTATCATTTCAATCTAAATTCTTCACTTTCTTCTTACACATTACATTTCAGCATAGCAGTTCAGCGTCAGCTTTTCAGCATAAAGCATTCCCACTAGCAATTTCTTCAGGAATTGCATTCTCTAGTTATTATTATTCCGCCGGGTTATTTTGTCCTTCTTCTGCTCCCACATTCCACATCGCAGAAACTCCATTCAAACATCAAAATGTTCAGCTCAGTCGGGAATCGATTGCTATTACTTTTCTCATTCATAACTTTCATAATTCCCGAGATATATCCCATAATTCATCACATTTTTAACATGGAAGTCAATGGAGAAACTCTTCAGACTTGAAAAATCTTCATGCCACTTCAACTGCTAAATTATTCACTGTCTTCTTACACATTATATTTCAGCATAGCAGTTCAGCATCAGCTTTTCAGCATAAAGCATTCATAACGTAAGGGCTCTGCGGACGTAACGTAACGGCTCTGCGGATTGGTCCATTTGGACCAATTGGTCCATTTGGGTATGGTTACGTCACCATACCCAGGATCCAAAGCGACTTAAATACACTACCATTGACATGCCAGCAATTCGGGGTTCAGTATTTTGCCTAAGTACACTTTGACATGTTTACTTCAGGGGCGTGGATTGAACCACTGGCCCCTTGATTGGCAGATCAGCAAATGTTTTGTTCACAGCCTTCTTCAGAAATCCTTCAGAAAAGTTGACTCAGTATTGTCCGATCAACATTTGATGAATCTACTCTTTTCCGCATTTAGCTGCACAGTCTTAAGGAAAACATTGAACAGAGTAGTTGACTTTTTCGAAGAAGACATTTGAAATATAAACTTGTGCGACTCGGCTGAATACTTTTAGTGCTATAATAAACTAACTCAGCATAATGTTATTTGCATCGTTCAGGTGGATCTGGGCAAGTTGACCTTCCTGACGGTGGTTGGGACTCAGGGACGATACGCCAGGTACTCAGGGAACGAGTTTGCCCGAGCCTACCGCCTCAACTACAGCCGGGACGGCCTGCTGTGGAAGTCCTGGAGGAACCGGCTGGGGAACATGGTGAGTGACACACATGTTTCACAAAGCACTGTGGGTAAGCACTGGCTAGGGTAGAAGGGAAATGGAGGAAAGAATAGAATCAAATATGGAGCGGAAACCTGGCGGCTTGTTATAACAGGGAAGAATAAGAGAAACAGGAAGTAAAAGAAAAGAAAATGACGCCTTTTCTACTCTGAGCAGCTTCTGGTCATTCAAGCTGGAATCTCAGGAAATTACATTTAAAAACCAACTTCCTGTTGGCCTTTAAGCTCCCTGACAGCTATAGCAGACACAATTTGAACAGCAAGTCATGTTTTAGACATTTATTCCTGCTTCAAGACTATTGATGTTTTTCATTTGAAATGTGTCTCCAGGTGATGGAGGGCAACAAAAATGCCTACACCTCTCTCATCAACGACCTTCACCCTCCGATCATCACCCGCTACGTCCGACTGATCCCTGTCCCCAAGCTGTCCACCACCGTCTGCATGAGAGTGGAGCTGTACGGCTGTCTGTGGGAGGGTACGACACACACACACACACACACACACATACACACACACACACACACACACACACACACACACACACACACACACACACACACACACACACACACACACACACACACGCACACGCACACACACACACACACTGTCACACTGTGAATGTGTGTGAGCTCTGCTGACATTAGAGGTTGTTGCCTCAGTGGAGTTAGACCTTTCTAAGAAATGTTATCTCCTCCTCACATAAACTCCTCAGAAACTTCCTAATTTGGTAATAGCCACAAGTTTTTTTTAAAACTCTTTTTTCAAAAACTGTTAATACAGCTATGTTTTATATTTTTATAGCACCTTTCATAAAAGATTTGTAGCCCTAAGTGCTTCACAGCAGTTAAATAGACAAATGAGTATGAAAAGGGTAAAAGCAATGTATACAATAACAAATATTGATTGATAAGAACCAAACCCGCTGCTAAAGTTCAACAAATACGTATATCCATTCAGATTAATACTCAGTGGCTCGGCTTCTTCTTAGTGATTCGGACTTGGACTTGGGCTCTGGCTCGAACACAGGTAATGATGCCTGGACCCTGACTCTTATTGGGTGACTTGGACTTGGACTGGAACAGCGGGGACTGAAGAGTGACTCGGAATCAAGAGTTGGTGACTTGACTACAACACTGGCGTCAGTCGTGGGACAACTACCATTTTCTGCAGATGAACTACGAAAAGCGGATTTGGATACTTTGCTCTGTGCATTCTTATCATGTTGTTTCATGCGGGATTAATAAACTTGGACAACATTGAACAATAAATGACCTCATTACCAAGGTATGAACTTAACCCTTATGTTGTGTCCGGGTCTCCCGTGACCCGTTTCAAGTTAAAATGATATAATAACTATGCTCTAGTTTTTTTTATCGGAACAAGGCACCTTGATATCCTCCACAACAGCTATATAAACACTCCAAAACAGATTTTGACAATTTTTGCCACATCTGAAGGTCTCTAAAAAAGAAAGTGTATAATTTGGTTTTCGGGTCTGGGGAGACCCAAATTTGGCCCAATCAAGATTCATCTTTGACTTTAGACACCCCCCCCCCCCAATTATTGCTTCTACTGTGGACAATATTTTTTCAAAGAAATAGGCATTCTATTCAATCCAAATTATCCAGAGTCCCCCAAAGCTTCAAAATCTACCCAAAATTCATCAAAAATAAACCCACAGAGCGAACAAATACAGTATGGCCACTTTCTGGTTAAAACTGCCATATTTGATCCATGTCTGAAACGGACTACCCCAATAACCCCAAAAACCACTCCGAAATTGTCCAAATCAGCCAAGCCATTTTTTAACTATACTTAGGCTATAATGGTAATTAATGCTATTCAACCCAAATTATGTTAATCGCGCAAATTGCCCAACATATGCAAGTTAGCATCCGGCTGTTTCTATGTGCTGGGGACCTGTACTATACATTTCTTACTTCAAACTTTAGGCTACTCAACATTTCCTGGTTCAATACAGAACGTTATGAGCTGGCAACTAAACAATATGTGACCACAACCCCTAGAACATGAACAGGCCAACAGAATGGAAATAATGAAAGTATAAACTGGTCAATACAAAACTTTGACACGATTCCAGCAAATTGATTGAGATGATTTTTGTTTCAACATTTGCTGTAATAAAGCAGTTGAACAAGTTTGTCATCCCCCCCCCCTCCCCTTGCAGATGGGCTGATCTCCTACAGCGCTCCGGAGGGTCAGCTCATGATGCCCCCTGGTTATCCCATCGCCAGCCTCAACGACTCCACGTATGACGGAGCGCACGAGAGGAGGTGAGCCACGTGAACATCACTTAACTGTCTCCTCTGCCCTCCGCTCTCTGTCACTGACAGCTGTTTCATCCAATAGGAGGCTGCTAGGCGGGCTGGGCCAGCTGACGGACGGTGTGATCGGCCTGGACGACTTCCTGCTGACCCGGCAGTACCACGTGTGGCCGGGCTACGACTACCTGGGCTGGAGGAACGACTCTCTGGGAAGTCAGGGGTTCGTGGAGATGGAGTTTGTGTTCGACAGGAAGAGGAACTTCACCTCCATGAAGGTTGTCAGTTCTTACTTTACCTAATCACAGCCACAAAACAAATAATACATTTTTTTTCTCCACCGCCTTAGGTCTTTTGGGGCGAGTAGACAAATTCTTCTGTTGTTCTTTACATCTGTGATTTTGTCTGTTCTACAGTACTGCAATACTACCTGGTACAAGTGTTTGTCAACTGCTTTAAAATCTGCTCAAAGATTGTTGGTCAACCCTGTCAGAGACTTTATGACTCAGCATACCATAATAACCTAGTGATGCTGTCCAACAACATAATCTCGGACCCAAACCATGTTCTGAACAGCGAATATGAACTGCTACCATCTAATCGGAAATACAGGGTCCTGCGATTCAATAAAGTCAGACTGAAGAATCCTTTGTGCATCAGCCGATCCTCACAGTAAATACAGAGCTGAATCCGAGGTCAAATGCACGCTAAAGGGTCTTTGAGTATGTTTCTCTCAGTGATTGTGATGTTATGTTAAATGTTTTTATTTTTTTTCATGTATTGGGTCTTGATATTTATCTATGTTGATGGAAATGCAAATGGAGCTGCTGTGATGCAATTCAAATTTCAAACTTGATCTGATCATTAGTTAAGTATTATCGTATAGTATTATACACACACTTCTAGTCCACAGCAGCTAAACAGATTGCAGTTCTCTTACTAACAAACTCTAAAATATGCACACAAGTTCTTTCTGATTGCGGTGATTGTAATTGAATAATGTGCACAAGGGACCCCCGTGAAAAAAAAGATGCCACAAAATGACTTCAGGCAAAAGATTGGTTGACTTTAACGAAATATCTTGGTTTGGCTTAAAAATAACTACGTTTGTTATGTAATTGGAGATACGTATATTTAAAGAAAATTACCTTTGACATTGATTTGAATCGTATATATGTGATATGTCAAAAAACATAATCTGGGTCAAAACACAAAATTAACATTGCAGTTCCATTTGAGCTGGATTACTTTATTCACATTTCCTTTTACTTCTATTTTACTCTAATTTCAAAAGATATATAAAAAACATATTACAATGTATGTATGTATGTATTAATAGTAGATACATCATTTGTATACATATTCATAAACAGCTTCCACCATATAAGTAAAGTTCTGTCTTGGAAATCTGTCTATCACACTTTCTAATGAATGTATTTTCTCCCTGTTCCAGGTTCACAGTAACAACATGTTCCGCCGCAGTGTGAAGATCTTCTCCTCCGTTTCCTGCTGGTTTAAGCCCCGCCTCATCGCCGACTGGGAGGCGGAGCCTGTGTCGTTCAAGACGGTGCTGGACGATAGGAACCCAAGCGCCCGATACGTCACCGTGCCACTGAACCGCCGCGCAGCCAAATTCCTCCGCTGCCGCTTTTACTTTGCCGATTTCTGGATGATGTTCAGCGAAATCTCCTTTCAGTCAGGTAACAAATGCACAACTCAGACACACAAACATAAATACAAATAATTCTTTTCAAAAGAAGATTAAAAGAATAATACCCCTTAATTTTCCCCCTCAGAGGACACCATACTCCTCGACCCCATTGTGTCGACCGTCCCTCCAATCAAGAAGGAGAGCACCATGTCAACCCCATCTGTGATGACAGGTATTCCCTTTGACCTTACCCTTTTCATTTCACATAAAATAATCCCTCAAATGTAAACACATAAAAGCTAGGGTAGGCAGTTATTGGCCAATAAATCTGTAATAACCTTGAGCATTGTGATTGTTGTGGTCTAAGAGAAAACTACACCCCTGCTCCTCGTATTGGCTGTTCTACTAAGGCAGATGTGTGTACACAGCCATTAAAGAGGCCCTATTATGTTTTGGGGTTTTCCCTTTCCTGTAGTGTGTAATATAGGTTGTTGTGCATGTAAATGGTCTGCAAAGGCTAAAATCCCAAAGTTCCTTCTAGAGGGAGTTTCTTTCCGACACACTCCACCCCTGCCTGAAAAGTCTCCATTGGAGCCCTTTGTTTACTTCCGTGACATAGTGACATCATTATGTAACACTTGTGCTTCTATTGGCTAGTTCTCAAACACAGTGTACTTGATAGGCGGGACATCTGTAGGCAGTTGACCAATCAAAACAGAGCCGGCAGCTAACCAATCAGATCAGACTGGGCTCTGGTTTCAGACAGGGTGAAAAGAGGTGCTGCAGCACAGGCAGTATGAGAAAAATAAAGAGCTTTTTGAACATTAAAGCATGGAGACATGTCACAGTAGAGCAGGGGTGGGGAACCTTTTTCCTCTCAAGGGCCATTTCAATTTTTACAACATCCTCAGAGGGCCGTACAAATGATTGAACTCAACGTCTGCTTAAAAAAACTAAAATAACAGCCCATTAATTTCGCCTTTCTTTCATGCCGTGCAAAGAATAAGAAACCTCTTAATCCAGATATTTTACCATGACTCGCATATGCATGCACGTGCACGGTTGTGGCATGACCACCAACACAGAAATATATGGACACAAGATGTGTGCAAATGTATTTAGTTTCATATCTATGTGAACATGATTTAAGTGGGGGGGGGGACCTAACCTCCTCTAGGGGGGTCTGGGGGCATGCTCCCCCGGGAAGATTTTTATTTGTTGAAGTTAAAAGCATCAATCTGGTGCACTTTGAGAGCAACATTAGGAGATCTATGGATACATCTCTCAACACCCATATGAAACAGAACTGTAAGCAGATTTTCTTTTTCTTTATGGATATTTTACAAATCACTCCCCTTTCAAACTGTATTCTTGTTTATTAACAACTTTTTTTTACTGTCATAGTATTTTATACCAGTTTTTCCTTTATTCTCTTATTTTTTTATAACTATAATGATCATATAAAGATGTGCCTTTACCTCACTGGTTGTAGAAAAAGCTTATTATATTCGTTAGCATAGCTAGCTAACCAGATGCTAATAACAACAAAGTTATTGACTGTATGATCAGTATGACAGATGAACAGATCGCCAATGGGCTTACAACTAAAGACACAGCCACGCAGAAACTGCGGCATGTGTACGGCTCCTTATGGGTACTGACATTTGTGAAGTCCCGGCCCGGAGCGGCGTTCTGGGGCTCTCCGGCAGAACTACACCCCTGTCAGACGAGACATATACCACGTGATGACACGTTAGGCTCGTGTTGTGTTCAAGGACCCTGACCACGAAAACAGGCACTCGCTTGTTTAATTATTTTGCGGTCTAGATTTCTTTAATTTTTTTCTTTTTTGCGTGTGTTTATAAATTACCTCGAGGGCCGTACCAAATGGTCTCGCGGTCCGTATACGGCCCGGAGGCCAGAGGTTCCCCACCCCTGCAGTAGAGGAACAAAATACAAATATGAACCTGAAAATCAGCAGAATAGGTCGTCCTCTAGCCACAGTGAGTGAGTTGATCAACAGTAAATGTATCTCAGTGAGAGCCCTTTAAGTATTTTACTATTTTCCAAGCTACTGTAGCATTCATATTTCAGAGCATGTTCCAGAAACAGAAATCCTTAATTTGTCCCGCAATGGGGTAATTTCACATTTACATACATTTACATTTTACATGAGAACTCAGCTGTCGATGCAACCCAGTCTCACGGCATTTCGTGTTATAGTCACGACATTTAATCTATTGATTCGTGTTCACCAACACGATTTTCCCCTTTTTTTCGTGTCACACAGAACGATTTTAAAAGCAATGTATTTCTATTGGTAGTATGTTTCGTGCCTGCACCGAGTCTTTTTGTCCGGTCGGGTCTTGGAAGACCAGAAGCTGTGTGGTTCATAAAAACATTTTCTTACTCAATATCAAGCCACGATTATTGTTTTTAATTTTAAATCGTATAATGTCTGACTTTTTTTGCCGTCCGCGAGAAAAAGAAATGGGGCTCAGAGCCTCAGAATACTGAAATCTGTATTTTTTAAATCTTTTTTTCCTTCTAATTTGTTATTCTTTTCTAAATAACACACTGCTATTTACTCAACAATAACACACAATTATCCTTGTTTTTATTTATTTGTTTAATTCTATAATCTCTGGCTTTTTTGGCATCTGTCAGGAACTGAATTTCAAAATAAAATAACCGGAAACAGACGTAGGCCTATATGGGACATTTCGAGCATCATTGCGATACACACCCACTGAACTGATTACCCAAGATCCACAGCTATGGTTTAAGTTCGGTGATTGGATGTTTTAGCCGTAATGCACGTTGGGATATGGTGTTAATTAGGGCTGTCAGTCGATTAAAATATTTAATCGCGATTAATCGCATGATTGTCCATAGTTAATCGCGATTAATCGCAAATTAATCGCACATTTTTTATCTGTTCTAAATTTACCTTAGAGGGATATTTTTCAAGTTTTTAATACTCTTATCAACCTATGAGTGGACAAATATGCTTTATATGTTTGTTTATTATCATTTGAACAATGACAAATATTCTCATGAATATTAAACACAACAACCTGAACATTACAAATATTCGATTCAACCTGGAACCTCTCTCATACAATAATACAGTGTGTGTGTGTGTGTGTGTGTGTGTGTGTGTGTGTGTGTGTGTGTGTGTGTGTGTGTGTGTGTGTAGACACTGTGATGGATCGTTGGAGCTATGTGCAGCTCAAGGCATATATGCTTGAACGGGAGCTGCAATCATGTTGCATGTTGAGTGTGCTGACTTTTCGTACAATGTCCCACTGTCTGGCTACCTGCATAAAGTAAAGTGCTCGGCGCAGTTGTCGGCGAAATGTCATTGAAACAGCTCCTTATATCCGTTAGCGCAGCTAGCTAGCACCAGATGCTAACAACAACAACACGTAAGGTGTGCCTCGCTCGCGCGAGTCGCGCCACACATACACACTCCCTCCCGGTCCTCCCGATGGCCAGTCCGGGCCTGCCGGTGAGCGTGGAAGTGTGGTCTGCCACAAGCGGGCAGCAGGAGCGAGGCTGTCAGCATCAGCTTGTAGATGGTATTTTAAACTCGATGCGCTCTGAAACTACGGGGCGGCCGAGGACAAAAGATACACATGCGTTAATCGCGTTAAAATAATTAGTGGCGTTAATTTTTTTTTTGCGTTAACGCGTTATTAACGCGTTAACTTGACAGCCCTAGTGTTAATACGATATGAAATCTGAAAAACATTACATAATCAGGGCTCTATATATAAATAACTACGGCAGATATTATAATATAATTATAATATTTAATGCAGCCGAACCATGTATTACAATGCCGTTATGTGATGACTTTCAAAGAGAAAAGCAAGCACACTCGGATTAAAGTATTATTTTCTAAACATCCAATCACCGAGCTTAAACCATAGCTGAGGATCTTGGGTAATCAGTTCAGTGGGTGTGTATCTCTTTCCGGTTATTTTATTTTGAAATTCAGTTCCTGACGGACGCCAAAAAAGCCAGAGATTATAGAATTAAACAAATAAATAAAAACAAGGATAATTGTGTGTTATTGTTGAGTAAATAACAGTGTGTTATTTAGAAAAGAATAACAAATTAGAAGGAAAAAAAGATTTAAAAAATACAGATTTCAGTATTCTGAGGCTCTGAGCCCATTTCTTTTCCTCATTGACGGCAAAAAAAGTCCGACATTATACGATTTAAAATAAAAACAATAATCGTGGCTTGATATTGAGTAAGAAAATGTTTTTATGAACCACACAGCGTCCGGTCTTCCAAGACCCGACTGGACAAAAAGACGTGTTGCAGGCACGAAACACACTACCAATAGAATACATTGCTTTTAAAATCGTTCTGTGTGACACGAAAAAAAAAGTGGAAAATCGTGTTGGTGAACACGAATCAATAGATTAAATGTTGTGACTATAACACGAAATGCCGTGAGACTGGGTTGGTCGATGCTGCGTTGAAGCATTTGCCATAAGGAAGTAGGAGTTTTGGTTCAAAGTTGGTTGGAAAACCAATAAATGCCAGATCATAATCACAATGAGGGTGTAAAGTAAGTGACAAGTGACGTAAATCAACTCTACAAAAGGAACACTTCCATAGCCATAAACGTAAATCATTAGGGCTTAAAAGTTGTAAAATGCGCTTAAAGCTGAACCCAGAGTTAATTTCCCTCCTCTATTAATTGGATTGAGCCAATACCAGATTTGAAACTGCCATAAAGACGCGGATTGGAGGCTTGGCTTTAGCATTTGTGCATGTGCTTTGTTTTTAAATTCCGCCTTTTCCAAAAAACTGCCTTTTTCAGCTTTAACAATGTTCTCTTTATCAATTCCACATCAATAAATGATCATCTCATTGTATCAAAACAAATACAAGCATTTTTCAATGGAACCAGTGAATATTGTTAACGAACTCATCTGTAGGAAACATTACAGCCAATGTGTCAGCGAGTGACCCGCCAGATGACGGGAACACGCCCATCCTGATTGGCTGCCTGGTCACCATCATCCTGATGTTAGTCATCATCATCGTCCTCATCCTCTGGTGCCAATATGTCTGCAAGGTGCTGGAGAAGGTGAGCAGATTAACCACTGAAGAAGAGACAGAGGATAATGGAAGTTGATTTTGATTTTAGTAAACAGGTGGTGAAGGCTCAAGCTTCAAACCTATTTTGGATGACCTGAAAATAAAATAAAATAATTTTCTACAGCGTTGTTATGTATGTATGTTAATGACACACACTGAAAAAACTGAAACGATGACTTTAATTAAATGTATTATGTCAACAGATTTCACATAACTGTATTGGGTTATTTATAAAAATGAATCAAATGGAAATGGAAAGGCAGCTTTTTAAAACCAAAGGTTCCTAATCAACCTCTTCCCTTGAATTTGAGCATTGGATATGGAGGTTTTCTACATTATTTTTTACCTTTCTCCTCCTTCAGGCTCCACGTCGGATCCTGGACGAGGAGGTGACCGTCAGGCTGTCGTCCTGCAGTGACACCATCATCCTGCAGACCCCCCCTGTGCCCCCTCGCTCAGGCCACGCCCCCACAGGTACACTACAAAACATTTGGAGTATCATGGTCAGATTTGTAGTGATCATATTTTTATATATATTAAAGATCATATATAAATACAATTAATTACAAATAATCATTAGTATAAGTATTATTATTTGTAGTATCATTATATATATTGTTATCACCATTAATAATGATAATAAGGTAATTGTGCTATTGGAGTTAATGCATATTTTTATGTTCGTAAAAAACATTTTTTCACAAAAGGCTAAACAGGATATAAGCAATAAAAAGTAATAAATAATAATAAAATACATTTAAATTTATGTTTTTTCACTTCAAACACCAAATTGACTCATTTGATGATGATTTTTTAAATATTTAACAGCATTAAAGCCATTAGTTAATCGAAATTGCTCCTGGATTATGTCCTGCACAAAAACACTGCTGATTTTCAAGTCCAAAGTAGAAACATATAAAGTCACTTGCTCATCAAAGTGACGTATGATGTTCTCATGGACATATGTTGTGTATATAAGAATTGTATTGTTGTCTCTGTCAGGATTTGAGGAAAGTTAGGACCCAAATGCAGTTTCAAAAGGGAGAAGCGGGTTTCAAAGGGTAACAAAAAGCGAGCTTTATTTCAGAAAGCCGATGACAAAAGAAAACAAGGAACAACTTAACATTACCAAATCAGGGGAGCACGAGTAAGGAATCCAGGACCAAAAACTTCAGGGACAAACATGGAGCGTGACGTGAAAGGAAAGACAACGAACCGACATGGAGCACAGGGGAAGACAAGACTAAATAAACAGAAGGGAAGACACAGCTGGGCAGGGGAGGCAGAAACACAAGGGCAACAGGTGAACACAATCAGACAATCAGACACAGGAGGTCAAACACAGGAAGGAAGACAAGACACAGGGAGAACAGAATTTCAAAATAAAACCAAGACAAGACAGACAAAACTAAAATCGTGACAGTCATTTGATACTGAAGTCATTCAATTTGCTTAAACAAACTATTGCAGGGTTGTTGGCGCTTTGTGTGCATGATGGTGTGTCATTTTCTCCTCAGGCCCCGCCAACACTGACCCTCACTATGAGAGAGTGTTCCTGTTGGACCCACAGTACCAGAACCCGGCGGTGCTGAGGAACAAGCTGCCGGAGCTGTCGCAGAGTGCCGAGGCTTCAGGTGAACAGGCTGCACTATATTAATCCTTTGAGTAGTGAAAGCAGAAAGAATTAGAAAATCCCCTACGGAGAATATTTGACAATGTGACTGGCATTACGGTGCTAAGTAGGTTTTGAAAGCTGTATTGTTTTTTTCTGGGGCTTTTATTCTGAAAAACTAGCCTAAACTTGAACTCCCTGTAACAATACAGTTACTTTCTTAGGATTTATTTTAAAAGCATACTCATCTTGAGCTTCCTGTTTGGACAGAATTACTCAATGGGGCTTTTATTTTGAAAAACATGCCTAATACTGAGCTACTTGTAACGGCCCGTCCACACAGCGGCGTTGGAAGCTTCTTCCAACGCTTCTGCCCATTCACTTTGAATGGAGTGACGTCACTTTTCGCCGAACTGCATTGTGGGAAGCAGAGCGGAGCTTTCCTGGCGTTTCAGGCTGCAAAAGTTGAGCAATGTTCAACTTTTGAAGCTTCTGAAGCTTTCGGTGGAAGCGTCAGCCAATCAAATCATATGCCAGTACAAGCTCTAGCCCAGGGGTCGGCAACCTTTTTGATATGAAGTGCCATTAAAAAAAAAAATTGTTATCGGCGTGCCAACGATTGAGAATTATCAACGGGGGGGGCGGGGGGGGGGGGGGGTTGAGGAACTTGACGCTGGTGAACTATCAACAGGAGGGCGGGGGAGCCTCGCTGCGCGGAAGCAGTGTGTGTGTACCTGTCAGCACAACTTACATGATGCCGAATTTAACAAACACATTAAATAATTGGTTTTAAACGGCATAATAATAAGGACGATCGTCCGTTCTGTGATTCTCCAGAACACACATGTTATGATATTAGGGTCATGCAGAGTGAGATGAGATCGCTATCCCTTTAAGAGAGAGAGAGAGAGGGGTGTGGCGTGTGCATGTGTGTGTGTGGATGGTAGAGCGAGAGTGAGCGAGCGTGTGTTTCTGGAAGTGAAACGAGGCAGCAGAAAAACAGAGGTCTGTGATGTATTTTGTGAAACAGAAGAACAGCTAAATAAATGCAACGGCCTCCCAAGAAGAGCTCGCCTCTCTCCAGTCATTTAAGCTAAAGTGGGTTATTGAACCTGAAGCTTGTTGCTTCTGCCCTCCTCGACTACGGTCTGGGAGCCGACAGGAAAGTTCAACACACAGATGGCCAGTCCGCCCCTTTGTAGCATATTATTTCAATGAGAGATGAGCAGATCGCCACTGGGCTTTCAACTAAAGACACACACAGCCACGCAAAAACTGCTGTATTTGTACAGCTCCTTATGGGTACTGCAATTTGTGAAGTGCTTTCCTCTGTGGTGAAACGATCAGCACTGCACCACGGAGGAAAGCGGCAGAAAGTCACCTGGAGTTAAAGAGAGCGGGGCTGCGCTACGTGCATGGCTTCCTTCTGCAGGTAACGGGGAGACGCGCTCTGGCGGCGGTCTCGTTCAGGATCCGAAAATACAATTTAAATATTTTGCACACTTATTCCACTTATTCCTAGTGTGCCACTGGTTACGGTGCCGCGTGCCAATGTTGGCACGCGTGCCAGGGGTTGCCGACCCCTGCTCTAGCCAATCAAACCGCTGCTTGTGTGTCAGGGGCGGGAGATTCATGTGATTGGTTGTTGGTCGAGCTTCAGATACGCTCGCCGGCAAGCTTTTTCCAAAGCCGCTGTGTGGACGGGCCGTAAGTGTAGTTACTTTAATGGGCTTTTATTTTGAAAAACATGATTTTTCATGAGTTTAAACCAAGCGGCAAACTCTGGGGCAGAGCGGGGAGGACAATAAGGATGTGCCTCAAACTGCAGTTCATCTAGTGGCCAGTAGGAGCAGTCTGCAGAAGGGAGCAATTTCCATAGACCCCCATGTTAAAATGCACAACTTTGCAGCAGAAATAAACATGTTTACATCATGGTTCAAAAAAACATATTCTCTGTATAGTTAGATTCCCCCTTCATGACTATGGATTGGGGGGTGAATTTTTTCTCAACTCATTTGTTTAATTAATATTCAGTCTTAAAGTTATGCATAAATTAGGGCGTGGTCACATTGAGTGACAGCTCTGTCCAGTGACTGCTGCTGTTAGCTTCCTGTCTCTCTGCTAGCAGCTCCGTGATGCTACAGGGACTCTGCCTGCTCAGCTCATCGGGGGAACATAACTTGGGTTTAAAAATATGATTTAAAAGGATATGTACATTTCGGTTCATGATAATATTTATATATTAAAAAAAAAAAAAAGTCTTCATATTAATAATAATAATATGAGCATGTCTACATGCTCAGGGGAGAGGCGGGTGCGGAGGCGATTCACAATCAGGCCAGCTGTAGAGAAGACCCTCTCAGCTGGAATTTGGGCATAAGATGAGGTTTGAGTCTGCGTGATCTGCGTGTAGGGAGGGGCAGCAGTCATATCATTTGCTAGAACTAGCTAGATCTGATGGATTTGGACATAAACGCGAGTGAAGTATAACCGGACGTGAGAGAGAGATCAGCACCTGCAGCTCTGCCCGCTGTGAGGGACCGGTGAGCGGAGCAAAACACACCTTTAGACCTAACACATTTAGCTATGGCACTGTCGTATACATTGATCATATGTAATCAACTTAGTCACCCCTCCCAAAAAAAAGAAAAAAATTACAATACAAATATTCATAACTCATAACTCATATTCTCATACCTGAATAATTTCGAATATTCGATTAATCGTACCCATCCCTAATACAAACGTCAAGGGATTTTAAGATTCTGAAGTATTATGCTAAAAACTCTAAATAACTTAGATTATTATTTATAGTTTTGCTGAATAGTTTCATGTCCGCTTACCTTAGAAACGTAAAATGCCACGGCAGTGTGCAAACGGGGAGCATGTTAGCTTAGCTTGGTAGCCTCAGCTAGCTCTGGAGCTTCCAGCTCCTTGGCAGCAGGTCCCGCCTCGGCTCCGCCTCTTTGCCCTTATTTGGATCAGGCTGGAGCAGGCGGGAGTTACGGTACGTCCACACAGCAGCGTTAAAAAAATCTTGGAGGTGGGCGTATCTGAAGCTTGGGGATTTTTTGCGAGCAACGCGACCAACAACCAATTACATGAATCTCCCGCCCCCGACATACAAAGCAAAAAAGCCCGAAGTAAACTGGATATAAACTCCCCAAACAGGCGAAAACCTACCACTGTCTCTGCCACCTCCCTCCATGCCTGGCTCCTCCGGTTTGTATTTGGATTTGATTGGCTGATGCTTCCACCTCTGCTTCAAAAGTTGAACATTGCTCAACTTTTGAAGCCTGAGATGCCTGGAAATCTCCGCTTTGCTTCCCACAATGCAGTTCGGCGAAAAGTGAGGCAAAGTGACGTCACCCCATTCAAAGTGAATGGGCAGAAGTGTTGGAAGATTTTTTTAACGCTGCTGTGTGGACGGGCCGTTAGACTCTGACGTCACTGTCGACACGTTAGTGGCCGACACTGCCTACTTTAGGCTTCTCATCAACTCTGCAGAATCCTATGGGTGACGTCACGGACCCTACGTCCATTTATATATACAGTCTATGGTTTAAACATACAGTTGGTATAGCAGGAAGAACTCGTAAATACCCCACTGAGAGATCTGACTGTGTGATTGGCCCGTGATCTTTATCCCAATGCTAAATTTGCCAGAGCTAATTAGGTTTTGTTAGCAGTATCTGTTTTGTTTCTTTTTAGGGATTTTAATTTTGCAAAACTTCCTTTAACGATACAGTTACTTTCTTGTGCTTTAAAAAAAAAGATCCTCATTCTAGGTATCCTAAGTATACAGTTATCGTATGGTGCTATTATTTTGAAAAACCATGCCTCATCCTGAGCTTCCTATTAGTACACAGTTACTCAATATGGCCTGAGCTTAACCTTACAGTAGATAATAATATCATATAATATTATATTAAAAATAATAGTAGAACTTCCCTTTGAAACTCTCTCACAGACCCATACTTTTTCTCATGTTTTATTGACCAGTTATTGACCATTTAGTGCTTTTCAACCCAAACGTTTCTCATCTAACAAAAGACACTTGAAGGGAAGTAAATCTGAATCAGCAATGCTTTAAAAATACTCCTGATCATCCGTGACGACATGTTTAGACCCGACTGTTAAAGCGCCTCTGGAGAGCGGCGGCCTCTGCTAAAATGCATCAAACTGCTGCAGTGCGCCCCCTGCTGGCAGCTTCACAAACACCCTCGAACTTTCTTTTTTTCCTTCAGAAACATGCTTACGGTCCTTCTCTTTTTTCTCGTACCCTCTCTTCAGTATTGTCTTGATGACGCTGAATGTGCATGTTCTTTCAATCTGCCGATCTCTCTCCTTCACCTCCCAGCCCTCTCCTTGTTTCCTCCTCCTCTTCTTCCAGCTCTCCTCCTCGGTAACCCTCTCTATGACCTCCTCCTGCTGACTTCCTGTCACATGACATCAGGCTGGCTGCGTGGTAAGAGCTGAAAGGTGTGACTTCAACGTCTATCAGATACTAATTTCCTTCCTACAGACCTTTATTACATTTCTTTACTTTTGTTTCCTGCTGTGGGTGGAATTGTTCTGACTAAACTATAGAGGTTAAAAATCATGTATGTAAGGTCGAAGTCACATTAATGAAATAAATGGGGCCCTAAATGTAATTAAATGAATGTGGTCATCAATTCAGGATTATCTCAGAGTAGTTAACTCAAAATACTATAGGTTAATTATATTGGAAATTATAGAGAAAACAATATATTTGTATTGGGGCCAATACATTTTATATTGGTATCTGTGTGCGTGTTAATAATAAGCAGTACATAAATAGTACACGTTTTTAGAGAAAAGAAAAGCACTGACAAAGTTTGTCCACCAGAGAGCGTTGACTCTTCGATTTTTACATTTTTAAATATCACAATAACCATTTTTGAAAAACTAAATGTGATTGACCCTTATAAAATATATTAGTACGGTATATTTTTTAACTTAATCTCAAGTATCAATTTTCAGCTTTAGCCTTAAAAATCATTGAAACTCTTCTGATGATCAACATATCACATATCAGGGATCCTGCTGATATCACTAATGTTATTGTTCCTCTACATTGACCAGAGGTGGAAGAATAATTCAGTTATAGAATCCTACATATTAAATGTTTATATTATAGTTATTGATGCATTAATGTGTTGAACACTTTAATGTTGCATCTGGTAAAGGTGGGGTTTATTTTAAATACTTTATATATAGTTTATTTGTAGTTTAACCTATAATAATATACCATCATTTATACATTTTATCTTTTACTAAGAACATAAATCTGCAATGTATTGGAGTAAAAAGTACAACATTTGCCTACAAAATGAGGTCAAGTAAATGTATTAAGTAGCGTAATATGGAAATTCTCAGTTGAAGTACTTCAAATTTCTAGTTACAGTATGTACAATAGTTGAGTCAATGTACTTAGTTACATTCCACCACTATTATTTCACATATATTACACCGTTATAACACTGTTATTACACTGTTATTACACAAAGGTAATTTATTGGAGATATAAACACATTGATATTAATTAAAGTTCGAAGAGAGTTCCCCAGAACTTTTTGTTAAATGTGTTTCACTAAGATACGAAGTGATTCATAGGAAGCTGTAAAAACAAAATGATTATTTCTGCTCCCAAGGACTCACAGAGAAAGGTCTGAAAGGAAGAACTGACCTGTACTCTCTCCCTCAGCGTGTGGAGGAGGCTACGCCGAGCCTGACGTCACCCAGTGCACGCCGCACCAGTGTTTCCATAGCAACGCACCGCACTACGCTGAAACGGACATCGTGCGGCTGCAGGGCGTCACCGGCAGCAACATGTACGCTGTCCCCGCCCTCACCGTAGACTCGCTCACCCGGAAGGACATCTCTGCCGCCGAGTTCCCACGGCAACAGCTGATCTTCAGGGAGAAGCTGGGGGAGGGGCAGTTTGGAGAGGTGAGCAGGGGTCGGGCTTGGCAACAGCAAATCAAGAAACACTTTAAATCCAGAAAAGTTTGCAGAATTGAAACACGTCTGAAAGGTTTTTAAAATGACGTGATTTATTTTAACATCAATTTCTAAGAATCTGACTAGGACTTCCTACAATAAGAGAATATCAGGATTTTCATAAAACTCTTTTGTCTCTTGAAAGTAGGCTGCTTGCTTCCATGGTTGTATTTATACCTAGTATCTCCTGCAGGTCCACCTGTGTGAGGCAGAGGGACTCCCAGAATTCCTTGGGGAAGGGTCCCCCCTCCCTGACAGAGATGGGCATTCTGTACTGGTAGCTGTTAAACAGCTGAGGGCCGACGCCACCAGCCAGGCCAGGTACACTGTGTGTGTGTGTGTGTGTGTGTGTGTGTGTGTGTGTGTGTGTGTGTGTGTGTGTGTGTGTGTGTGTGTGTGTGTGTGTGTGTGTGTGTGTGTGTGTGTGTGTGTGTGTGTGTGTGTGTGTGTGTGTGTGTGTGTGTGTGTGTGTGTGTGTGTGTGTGTGTGACAGTGATTTTATGTGTAAGGATCTGTGACCTTATTGTTTCTTCAACAATCTTGAATGTGGATCATTAAAATCTGCTAAGTGGAACACATATCACACAACTTATTAAGTGTCTCATAACAAGGGTGCAGGAACATCCTCAATGGGAGTTGTATACAGTGTCTGTGTACGCGTGAACATTTTGAACTCAATGCGGCTCGAGACGAAAGTAATTTAATCACAAAAATCCTAAGGATTCGTCCTCTTAGGACCATGAATTTCCACAGACACTGTAACGGTAATCTCAAAATGAGTCGTAGAGACACTGTTCTTAGTTAGTATTTGGCTTCTGACTGAATTTAGATTGAATTTCCCAAGTTGTAATGCTGCTCTTTACATTGGAGCATGTGGCTAGGTACAATACATTGTACCTTTTTAAGTTATGGTGGGTCAAATTGAAGAAGCGAGCAAGAGTAAGCTACATTTGTAACCAAAATCCCAGCCCAATGTTGCTAACTCTTTTCCAATGAAAATAGCTTGCAGCCTTAGCTAAATCCCGCTAAATGTAGTGTGAAAGATCTCTTTTCAGGCCTTCCTCCAAAGCCACACCCCCAAAACCATAGTTATGAATGTAAACATATCATGATGAACTCACAGGTGTCAAGCTAGCAGCTAGCCGATGATTCGCAGTGCCAGCAGGTAGGCACGCAGACTGGTGGACATGTAGGTAGAGAGGCAGGTGAACTATAATGAGTCCGTCCAAGCATTTTATTTGAGCCGAATAAAATGATTGTACAGATTTATTACAGTCCTGCAGAAAGTCACAGATCAACAAATGAACAAAGACCGTAAGAACACATAACCCAGCCTTACTTAGGGTCTGTTTATTTCTGTAACTGCTGTAATTTTGTATTGGATGAATGGACAGAGTACTGCAGATGCTGCTGATATGAATTGAATATTATGTTCATAATCTGTGTGAGACCCAGATGACTAAAAGCCATATGTGTGTCCATCAGGAACGACTTCCTGAAGGAAATAAAGATCATGTCTCGTCTGAACGACCCCAACATCATCCGGCTGCTGTGTGTGTGTGTGTCGTCCGACCCGCTGTGCATGGTGACCGAATACATGGAGAACGGAGACCTCAACATGTTCCTGTCGCAGCGGGAGATCGAGAGCACGCTGACACACGCCAACAACATCCCTTCAGTCAGGTTAATATACCATACTCTGTTCCAATTTAAAGGGGACCTATCATAAACAAATGCACTTTTTGATGTCTTTTATACATAAATATGTGTCAGGGAACTCACAAAGTGTCAGAAAATAAAACCCTCTCTCTTTTCCTCCGTACCCAAATCTCTAAAAACGGGGGAACAACGGAGCTGATCCAGATTTGATATGACGTAATATTGGAAATGTGGAAATGCGGACCCACGGCACTATCAGAAATGTTGCTATCAGAAACAATGCCGACGTGTTTTGGACGTAATATGATCTTTGTTTAGATTAGCAAGCATCGCTAACACTCAGAGCTAACCTGTACTGGAGAGAGTATGTGTAAAAAAAGCAGGAAATATAAAAAGGTACTCACCTTGTGGTAAATAGTGTTAATTTCGTCAGCTATTTTTTTATTTAGTTTTAGTCTTAGTCCTGTGTTAAATTTCCTTTTTAGTTTTAGTCATATTTAGTCACCTTCATCCTGTTTTTATTTAGTCAAGATTTAGTCGACTAAAAGTCTGAGCATTTTAGTCTTATTTTAGTCAAAGAAAACTAATTATTTTAGTCTACTTTTTATCAATGAAAACTGTTGAGTCTTTTTTAGTCATCAGATTATATAGAACATTTCAGTCAAACTAGTCTAGCCAAAACCAATAATTTGTCATTTTAGTCAAACTTATTTCACAATAAGATTATATCTTGTCCTTATTTGATGAAAAACACAGGTTGAATGATTAAGAATGCAGCTTTGCAGAGAGTGGTCAGGTTTGTGGTGTTTTTACCAGCTGTGTTAAGGCTACATTGCTTCCCTTCTGATAAAACAATGCATTCGCTTTTTTTCTCAGCCTCATTGTAGCGAAAATGGGCCCAAATATCACATAGTTTCTTTCTCCCAAGCAGTGGTGGCGTTAGACTTTTTCGTTGTCAGTCATTTTGACGGACAGGATCGTAACATTTCCGTCATAATCCATTATTACCCGTCGAGTGCACAATTTATCACTCACTCGCGTTGACGGGGGGGGGGGGGGGTATTCGGTTAACGCGAGTGCGACCACTGCTCCCAAGCCCTGTTGTTGCCATTTTATTTTCTGTTAAATAAGGTTAGTTAGACCATGAGTTAGACCCGAGTCTTCCTGACAGTTCATATTGTGCCGCTGCCCGGTGTAATTCAAATGTACCGCCGCGCGCGGCACAGACACACAGCTGCTGCACCCAGCCGCAGCACCGGAAATGGAACTGCTGGGAGAAAAACTGACTATCAGAGATGTAACGTTATCTTTAATAATATTTCGTCTCCTCATTTTTCGTCAACGAAAGTAAAGAGAGATTTTGGCATAGTTTTTATTTAGTAAACTACATTTTCGTCTCGTCACTTTTCGTCAACGATATTGCATGATGATTTCGTTACAGTTATTGTTTACTGCCGTCGGTGCCATCTCGTCATCGTCTCGTTTTCGTCATGGAAAAAAAGGTCGTTGACGAACATATTTCGTCATAGTTTTAGTCAACGAAATTAACACTAGTGGTAAACCCGCAAGAGAAAAAGCATTTGAGCTCCATACTGTTTCAGAAATAATCCTTGATGTGGTTTGGAACATGATATGGCGTTTAATCACTGGAGCATTCATTCGAATTCTGAGCAGGCACAAGCTCCCCCTCCTCTTTTTTTTTTTTTCAAGCTAAGGACCCCGAACCTGCAGTTCTCTAACACGGCTTAAACAAAGAGATATGAGGGATGTGTAAAATGCATGATCTGTTTGGTATTTTGAGCAAAACACATCATAGACATGTTTTTTATATATTTTTATATATCTGAGACCCATAATATATGCCTAAAAATAGCATAATATGATACCTTTAAAACTAATTTAGAAGGTGATGCAAACAGCAGAGAGCGGCACGAATATTGAACATATGAAGATACAGACTCTGATCTCCTTCCTCATCTCTAACCCTCTTCCTTCCCTTTGCCCCTCATTCCAGTCTGTCCGACCTCCTCCACATGTCGGTGCAGATCTCCTCAGGGATGAAGTATCTGGCGTCCCTAAACTTTGTGCATCGCGACCTGGCCACCAGAAACTGCCTGCTGGACCGCCGCCTCACCATCAAGATCTCCGACTTCGGGATGAGCCGGAACCTGTACAGCAGTGACTACTACCGCATCCAAGGCCGGGCGGTGCTGCCGATACGATGGATGGCGTGGGAGAGCATCTTGCTGGTAAGGGAGGGGGGGGAGTAAACATGAGACAGGGCTAAAGAAAGAATAAAAGAAGACCATTTATACCCAGTGCTAGCTGTTGTTCCCTGATACCTCCATCCGCTCCAAATGATGGCATAATCAAGAAATTGAAACGGCTCTGGTGTTTTTTATTATAATAAGTGAGGTTTTGAGGATTTCTTTAGCATAGCAATGATGTGAAAAAAGTATGTTTATTAATGGATGCATCTATAGTCCGACGGTAACACCCTACCACCAAATTGTGTTTATCAAATGATTGTAATTGCTGAAATAACATTAGAGTTGACAAAACCCTTGTGCATTCCAAATCATCTTCTTCAAGCTCCATCCTAATACGTAATGCTTTCACTTCTGCAGCAATTTCAGTATTTTTCAATGTCCTCCCCTCCCTCCTCTCCAGGGTAAGTTCACCACGGCCAGTGACGTGTGGGCGTTTGGCGTCACCCTTTGGGAGATCTTCACTCTGTGTAAGGAGCAGCCCTACAGCCTGCTGTCCGACGAACAGGTCATAGAGAACACTGGCGAGTTCTTCAGGAACCAGGGTAGACAGGTGAGACGAATCTAACGCACTCCCAAAGGACAGTTCAATTGAGATGTGTCATAGACAACCTTTGTACCCCTTAAAAAGCCTTTTTCTGATTCTTTACTAACGATCTCTTTGTCTTTTCGACTAGATTTTCCTCTACGGCCCTCCGCTCTGTCCACCTTCGCTCTTTGAGCTGATGATGTGTTGTTGGAGTCGCGATATACCCGACCGACCCACATTCGAGGGACTTTACCAAGCCCTGAAGCCCCATGTCAACCAGTGAGCAGTGTCCGCTTGGATGTACCACTCTGTGGGATGTCCATATCTGGACTCTTTATAAGAAGATAGACTGACACCACAAGAGAAAGGACTGGAATTATGTTATAAGAGTATGTCAGAGGGGTAACGGAAACTGGCAGAACTGTGGTCAGAAAGTGGGTTTTCTTCGTAGTAACATCAGCACTCTATTCTGAGAGACAAAGTTGAGGTAGAAGGAGAAAGGCTTGTGTACTCAGAGGAAAACAAACCTGACAGTTGGTAGTGAACAAATACTTTTAAATATTTCTATTTGATTGCTGATTTGACAGTTTCCCACCTCTCCTTAAAGCCCCTTCGACCAAAACATCTTGTTAAACCTTTTGACACTTTTTTTCCCCATTTTGCTATGGTGCCAAAGTTTGCGTAAACGTTAATTTTCTTCTTGTCTTTGGCTTTTAAAGATGCCAACAACTGGACAGACTCTTCAGTCTTGTTATTTTCACCTGTCCCTGTGGTTTTTATTATTATTGTAAAGCACTGTCTGTGTCTCTCAGTTATTCATGTTCATTTAACCCACACTGGAGCTAGGGTTAGGGTCAAATTGTAGTGTAGTTTATTTTTAGATTTTTATTCTATTTTATTTTACTTGTTGGTCTTTTTTGTGGATATAAATGTTGTTTAGCTGAGGTTCACATCACGATGCCAAGAGGCTGCGTTGATACCTGTGTGGTTCAAAGACTGAAAATCAGTCAGTGGGTAACTGTGGGTTATTTAGGAGAGTAAGTGGATGGAGGGCACATTTGAACCAAATAATAATAAAAAAATGTTGTTCCTTTTTGTTGCCAAAGAGAAATAAAGAGTATAAGTAATAAAACATGATATCAAATGTATAAAAAAATCATCTTTGTGATTTAACTCCAACAATATAACATTAACATCTGGCACTGGAAACTTTCTTTTTAAAGTAGCCTACCTTACCTTTGAGTATGTTACCAGTGGAAAATCAAGCCAATTCTAACAACATGGGTGCTGATAGATGGGACATTATCATTCTAATGCAACAATCTTATGTCACGTTATCTCTTTACCTGTGTGCTGGGGCCTGTAAAATGTACACATATGTTCAATGTGTTTATGTTTATGTTGGAGTCCAGAGATTTTTACGTTTATAGATTAGCCAGCTAGCCTTAGCGCAATATTTAAAAAAGTAAAGTCTGTTGTTTCATTGCTAGAATCAAAGAATTTAAAATACAATTGTTCAAATTAAGAGTGAAATATTCACCAAACTGAAAAGAGCCCTAAGCAACTCAACTAGTATTGAGATTTTGGCTAGCAACCAACGTTGTTGTTAGCTGACTCAAAAAGCTAGCAAGTTGTAATGTGGGGTAGTAAAACCAGGCTCTGTTTAACACTAGAACCGCCAGGGGTCGCTGTATACCTGAAACCGCCAACGGGTGAAATGTACCCGCTATTAGAATGCATTGATTTTCAAGGTACAATGTTCTTTTATTTATCATACTAGAACACAGGGTTAACAGTGAGTTTTGATCGCACAGTGATGAAACTTATACCAATAGAATCTCTGGATTCTTGAAGTATTGCATGAAGTATAAAAGATCGCTAACGTGAGTTATGTGCAAAGTGTCTCTATCTATCTCTCTCTCTATCTATCTATCTCTAACTATATATCTATCTATCTCTAACTATCTATCTATCTCTCTATCTATCTCTCTATCTATAAGGAACCGCAGTAAACAACAGGCGTTGCTATAGCAACACATCATGTTTATGTTTACGCGCGAGATCAAATCATTGCATTTTCTATAAGGCAAATATTACCCGCTGGCGCTGATGGGTATAAATGGCAATTTTTTCAATCTGACTTCATATTGACCATTTTTAACAACAGAGGGTGCTACATAACACCCTTTCAGGAAAAGTCACAGACTGGGACACTTGAATATTTTGTTGAAAATAAGTTACATACAATCAAGAAACAGCTGCGGGTAAAATGTACCCCTTGGCGGATCTAGTGTTAAGGAAAATCCAGACTAAAAGTATTTTTGTTGTCAATCAGTTGTCTTACAGAACTTATGTGATTCCATTTTACTACGGCTACATCTGTACCAGATTTGGCAATGGCACTAGTCGTTGCGCTGCTCCACTCAACTGTCTGCTAAAGCGATTTCTTATCTTATCATGTATTACAAAACTGGACTGCTAATAACATTTCTGTTATTCAGTTTATCAAAATCTACTTCTGAAAAAAATTCAATTTGGCAAGAAATAGGATATGCTACTGTTAGCTGTTGCCTAGTTTGACTTCTTGTTCAAAGTTTTGCTAGCTAGCCGGGTAACACTAGATAGACTTATTTGCATTAAAGGTGGGGTAGGTAAGTTTGAGAAACCGGCTCGAGATACACTTTTTGTTATATTCCATGGAATGCTCTTAACATCCCGATAGCAATGAATATCTTAAGTGCTTTGACAAAAAATCCATAAAAAAATGTCATCTGTGGAAGCCGTAATACTGTAAAAAGCAGGACGGCCCGGCTAAAATAACCGGATGGCCTACCTGCCTGTCAGCCTTCCATCTGTGCACAAACTTATCTCGTGCCCTCATTGGTCATGTCAAGGAAGTGGCAGATTTCTTCCGGCTGTGTATTTTCAAATTCTAGCGATCTCGAGCTGGTTTCTCCAAAATTACCTACCCCACCTTTAAGTTGAGATTTTGTTTATGCAAAAACAGACCCTGTCCAACTAGCGCAACATTCCCACCATGCACTGCGCCACTGCTTCTCCTGCTCTCCACATGAAATTAATTGAAAGTGCAGATCTGGTGTATAGCGTTACTTGCTAAAGAGATTCCTACTTCTCTGGGGTTACAGTAGACAAGTTTCACTTATGTTTAAAGACTTATGCAAGCTAACTACCTTCTTTGCTTGCTGTCTATCTAACTATCAAGCAAAGTACTTAGCAAGGAAGCTAGGTTATGTTTAAACAGGGTTTAGCTTTGTTCTAAAAACTGTAGCGATGTTAGCGCTTTCACCAAGTGAGTCCCGTATTTGTATAGTTAGAGAGTTACCGAACTGATTTTAAAGCTTAGCCAGATCACATCAACGTAAAAGTTTTGGTGATTAGAGACAACACACAACATGTACATTTTGGGCCGAACATAGCAGAACTACTGTGTTAAAAAAGGACCCTCTGAGCTGAGGGCCAATGAGCCACTTGAGACTATAGGGACATCAGACACAAGCCCCACTCTCACTACATTAGCCAGCTAATCACATACAGCCAATCCTAATACCCTTTCAAAGATTCATTTAGGAACACATACTGTAGATTCCTTTTCCTGCCAGGCACAAATAAAGGCCTTTTTTAAATCCATCAACATATATTAATTGAATAGCATCAACATACTTTTGTTTAAAGAACCACTGCATGCTATGCCAAAAATGAATACAGTGTTGTGGACTTCACTGTTGCTACTTCAAGTATTTTACTACTTCAAGCAGTAAAATATGGAAATGTGGATGTTGAGAAAGCTAGCCAATGGTGATTAAGAGTTTTCCATACATACTACATCATTTAATAGTCATAACATCCGGGACATTGAGCTTCAACCAAATAACAGTTAAGGTGATTGGTCTGCTTTGCAACTGGATTGATTAATTGATGTGTGATCGAGGCTAAAGGCTTGATAGTTTCAACATTATGTAATGTGGAAAAGTGGGTAGAGTCCATTTTCACAATTTCATTTGTATTTGGTCTCAGTATTTTTCATGCTGTAGTCACTCAGTTTAGTTGTGTATAATGTGCGTTAAATGTGTGCAGTATTTTTAAATCCTCCCTTTCAAATTGTCAAGAGCGTAAATTGGCAACATCAACATCATCTCCACAGGAAAGAAGGAGGAAGACCAAATATGTTAAGTTTGAGTTTTGTTTTTGTTGTTCAGTATTTTTTTTCTTTGAATATCTGTACTGTATCTTAACACTTGTGTGTGTGGTTGGGATGAAATGATTTCGGAGATCGAGGGTTTTTGACATGACTTTGAGCACTGGGTAAAAGTTGGGATTAAAGTGGTTGACCAGAGTTGCTTTGTTGTGCCAAATGATGTGTTTTAACAAGGGCAAAGAGATTTTTTTTAAGCAACAGGACCGTAATTAAGCAAACCACTGAACTCAACACACCCAGAGTCCTTTGTTACAGTAAGCCTGTGTATTTTGTTTTGGTTCCATTAGAGAGATAGTCTTTAAGTGTGATAGTGTACAGTATAAGTGATCTATAATATCTCAGTGTGTGAATGCAGATAAGGTGAGATAATTGTTATTGATAACTGATTATCTATCAGAATTTATAGTAGCTGATTCTCTGATTATTTCTATTCTGGGAAGGTGTTGTTTTTTTTCCGTTTTTTTCTAACAGAGATTTGAACATTTCTAACGGAGATGTCCTGCTTCAGACATGTATTGTACATAGGCTAGTAGCTGTGTATATTAATATATTGGGAGGTGGTTAACTTTGTGTTGTCCTGAGTCATTTTCACTCTGTACCCTCTCATGTCCCCGTTTGTTTTTCTCATAATAAACAGTAACATTTGTCAAACAGAACTGTGTATGTATGTACATTTGAAACTCCCAAAACAGAAGTCTTCAGACACAAACATGTGTAAAGGCTGGATTATTTCAGAGTGTATGTTATGATCAAGACCAAGGGTTTTACAAGTCTGAGACTGTGGGCCTTCACATTTTGAGAAAAAAATCTCAACATATTTTACTTGCTGGATTTTGTTCAATTCCTGGATGCATATGGGATCATGATTATGCTCAGTGGCGACTGGCACAGCCCCACCTAGTGTCAGCAGAAAGTCATTGAAATAAGAATTCCAAAAAAATGCAAATAAATGCAAAATAAATACCTCTTAAAATATATTTTAAGATCATGTTTAATCATCTGATTTGTCTGTACATTGCTGTTTTAGTCTGTGTTCTTCTAATTAGTGTCTACAGTGTGCCTATTTTGAGCAACGTGGGTCAAGCCCCTATCTAGCCCTCCCTCTCACTGTCTAAGTGAATGGGTGCTGTAAAAACTACACTGCGAGAGTATTTTTCTATTCAATGTGTGCGGCAAAAAAATAATCACCATAGGGGCACTGTGCTGGCATACCTACCAAACGTCATCTCATAATTCAGAGAGCTGATTGGCTGTAAGTACGTGTGCCGCGAAAAGTGTAGTTTTCACCCTGTAGTGAAGAGGACACGAGAGAGAGGAGCGTATAGCGATTAAAATCAGTAAAACGGAAAGAAAATGAATGAAGTTGACCATCTACTTCAGCTTTGGTAAGTTCATTTTATGTAATATATTTTGTTGATCTTCTGTGTTTAGCCTATAGGCTATTGCTCTGCTGGATCGATTGATATTGTGACCTCGGTGATGAGTGTCTGTGTTTACCTTATACCCCCCCCACCTCTCTATCGGAACCATGGATAGCCTACAGCTATTTGTTTACATGTTTAAAAAAGCACTAGAAGCTTATATATGGGCCATTCTACCGAATTGGACCAAAGTCAGGTTCGAAATGTTTTGACATTTTGTATGTTTTTTTCCCAAAACTTTGTCCATATATATTTTGTACCATATCTAAATTACACATATCTAGTAAAAGAACCGTACATTTTTATATCGTATTTTCAGACTGTATTGGAATGTTCTTCCTCTACCAAAAATGTTCACTACCGAAACATAGTACATACACTGTAGTAAAAAAGTATTATATGAACCTGTTAAGATTGTTTTACCTTCCCTTCTCTAAATAGTATTTTAACAAATATGTCTTGAGGGTTTTCACAATTAAATCAATGCAATTACATTTTTAAT